CTTAAGAGACGAATAAACAAATTGGTAGGCCGAACTTTGGTCACTCATGAGCCAGATGTGGCCCGCGGGCCGCCAATTGAATAGCCCAGACTTAAAGTCTTAAAGCATCTAATATATTTTGCACTTACTGGTAAGTATCAAAAGTGCATTTTGGACATAAAATGTACTTAGGTATTAAAAATAAAAGTATTGAGTAAATATGAGCAGTTAGATATTCCACAATGACATTTATTGGGAGGTCACCGCCAAAAAAAACATTTTTCTAAAGGCCGAAATGACTAGTGTGTGTGTGTGTGTGTGTGTGTGTGTGTGTGTGTGTGTGTGTGTGTGTGTGTGTGTATATATACTGTATGCATACTGTATATGCCACAGACCTCTTTGCACTATAGGCTACATACTGTATATCTGCTATGTCCTGCTGCGATGGATGCGGTCTCAGAATGATCTCACTATTTATACTTCTCATCCAACCACAATTAAATTGACTCTATCTGGGTGCAGTTTATCAAGATAGTATTCTTTTTTTAACAACAACTAGCCAGAATGAAATAGGAGTAACAACTTTCTACTTGTTACCTTTTTAACAAGTAAGGAGTAGAAGCAGAAAGTCGGCAAAAAAATAATTACTCAAGTAAAGTACAGACAGCCAAAATTTATACTCAAGTACAGTAACAAAATATTTGTATTTAGTTACTTTACAACTCTGCAAATGATGAACAACATTTGCTATAGATATTGTATTAAATGTAAAACTGGGTCTGGCAGTTGTTTGTAAGATAATATATGACAATGTTAACAACTGGAAATACAATCGACATGGAGTGTTCTACTTTTAATACAGGAGATGGAACTGACATGTTTACCTCATTAAAGTGCTGCAATATCAACATTTATAAAAGGGTTTGAGAGCGAGAGAGAGAGAGAGAGAGAGAGAGAGAGAGAAAAGAGGAGCTACTCCTCTCCCAGAGTGTGTTTTGTAGGCTTGTGAGGAGCTTAAGTGTACCGGTTGTTTCTGTGAGAGGAGAGAAGGAGGAAACGGAAGAGGCTGATTTATCCCATGAATAAAGCATGACTTGTAAGTAAGAACACAAGTGGGTCCTCCTGATGTGAGTCTGTGTAAACAGCCGGTGGGATCAGGAGGTTGGCTGGTTTACATCAGGTCACCAGCAGGTGTTACAGCTGCCCACATCCTTGCGTGAACGTGGACCGTTTACTGGCTAAATTTGACTCGGGTGCGCCGACGCAGACGCACGGAGGTGAAAAACAAGGAAGTGGAGTGACAAACTGTGAGCTCACGTTGGCACAGGCTCAGCGGACATGAGCGAGCACGCCTGTGTGTTGCAGAGACAGTTGGCAGGGATCATATTAACACTTTTAATGCTCGTTTTGAGCACTTAAGATCAGTTTTGGCATTGGCTATTAGCATTTTAAAGGGTTTTTAAAGAAATAAAGACAACATGTAAAACTGGTTCTTTCTCGTCTTTGTGTCTGTGTTGAAGCAGTTGGTAAAACTCTGGCACGATTTCTCAATTCATCATATGCCGCCCAAAGGCAGAAATGGGGAGAGCCACTGAATAAGTTGAAATAAAACAAGCAGTGGATGTAAAACTACATGCTTTTGGACTCAACCCCATTCAAGATGGCTGCCACAGCCAACTGACTTTAAAATCAAGGGCTACAAGATCACTAATTTTACAAACATTTCTAAATATTAGACAAAAAAAAGGGGTCTTCCAAGGCTGTCGTCCCTATATCTCAGAGAGGCAGCGCTGTAATGTTGTTGACAAGTATTGTGTTTGTGTTGGGGTCATGACTGCGAGGCGAGGAAAAGTAAAAAAAAAAAMCAGAAGAAAACTTGTTTATTCTCACACTGTTGTGTCATCATCTGTGAAAGTGTGGTGAAAAGAGCAACAGAAAACACACCGAAATACAGAAGAACAAAGTTTGATCAGAAAATACGTCTCAAAGTGTTAAACGGTGACTGTAGTGGGAAATTATGCTTTAAAATAAGCCACAATTAGAAAAAAAAAACGGACCGTATATTTCAGGTAAAAAACTGTGTAAGGATTGTTTTATTCTTTTTCTGTCTTGGCTTATTTTTAAAAAGCATTTTTTCCAGACTGCAGCAGTAACAATGTCAGCCTTAGAGACGTATGTGACCTTTCAGTTGTCCACTGTTAGCAGTAAAGCTTTCTGTAGACTCACCGATGCTGCTAAAATCTGACACTTTGGAATAAATCTACCTGCCTTTGTGAGGCCAGAGTAAAAAAAATGAAAAAAAAATACACATATACAGTATATACAGAACCATCTGCAGGCAACAAGCTGAAGAAAAGAGTAAAAATAAAACAGTCAAGTGCAGACATCTTTCTGTGCTTCATCACATTGTCTTTGCTTGTTTGCCTTCTCCTAATCAAACTACCCTTTTTTTTTATTATCGCTCACTGCCAAAGGTAAGGGTGGAGCAAGAATGTTTTTTATCCGTGTGTGTTTCTGCGCCGTTACTGAAATATTTCATAAATCACCGAAGAGCGTTTAATGAAGTTTTCAGAAAGTAATCATAGGGTTGACCTCTACATTTGGAGTCAACCCAAGTAAAAATGGCCTCCGCGACTAATCGACCGTAGCCTACACAAAAGAGATATGACTGACATTGAGGTAAAATTGAACGCAGTAGTAGCTGACTGCTAACAGGTYATGAAAGGTAACATAGTAATGCATAAAACAGCTATAACTCAGTTATTATGCCTCCACCCGGGTTCTAAAACATTATAGTGTGACAGGCCTTTATTGGGTGTCCATCACACTTTCTTGTGTGCACTGTAGCCCCTGAAAGGAGCTATTGATTGCAGTCAAAATTCACATGG